CATATCAACTTACACCAAAACTGGGTCGATCATGGATATGATCGATTATTGGATTAGTGCCCAAAAATGAGTAACTTTGTAAATAGCTTTTCGCTTCAAAAATTCGAACGAAACTCCATGAAAATAGCATCAAAATGTTCATTTTAACTTGCTCTTTCAAATGATGTATGATTCAATAGGGTTATTCCGAACAATTCTTAATGGGCCGATTTGGCCTCTTATGCGCCCCCGTCCTTTCCATGGCAATTTCTAGAATGCTCTTGAGACAGAAAGCTTTTGTTTTGCGAAAAGATTTTTTGTATCTATATCCCCTCCAGATATTTTTTGGTCAGGGAATATTACAAATACACATATAAACTTTTTCTAGACCACTCATAACTACTAAATAAAAAATTTTAGTTTAAAACTCCAGGATACTTTTTTCATTCTATATGAATCTTTTTATTGAATATAGTTATCGTTCACTTGTTGATCAATATGACGCTTGTTCATTTGGTGATGTACTTTATTCAAATTATCTTCTTGTTCCATTACAGCAAATGTATGATGTTCAATTACGAAAACATGTTTGGATTGAACATTCAACTATATTAAAATATCTTCGATTAAAACCTGATCAAGTATTATTTTTGTTTTGCTATTTTCATTGATAATTATCTAACTTTTATAGATTTTATTCTCACTTGAAACATTCTTTATACCATATGAAAATGAACTTGAATTAATTCGTTACTATGCTCAAATATTATTAAATGGAACTGTTAAAAAAACGATTCAACCATTATTATATATGATTGCTGTACATCATCTCAATGGATTTCTATTTGATCAAACACGTACTGAACAAAATAATTTACAACGAATTATTGTAAAAAATTTACAAATGACATCAACAAATGATAAGGTAAGTCGTTAGATTGCTTTGTTGAAAGTGAAAAGAAAGATTTTTTTTTTCTAGATATTGTATGATGAAATTATTAATTATAAAACATTTTCAAGAGATGGACCTGTGATTTTTACAACTTTGCCAGTTATTCGCATGAATTGGTTACAAAAACTTGTGGAATAATTATTATTAAGACTTTTTCTTTATTAACATGAATCAAAAATTCTTGACTTGATAATCTAGACATTTGTGTTAAATGTATTCTTTTTCTATTTGAACAATAAAAATGCTAACAGTTAACTAAATAAGAATGCACAATAGTAGAGTCTTTGTTGTATTATGAACTATCTTACGTATAAAATTATTTCAAGAAATAACAGTTATCTTTTAGATCTAATAACTATTGCAAGAATATTTCGTTCTTTTTTTGTTAAAATTTTTCCATACCATAACTGATATAATATTCTGCATATTGTACGGTGCGATAAATATATTCGAATATTTACAAATGATCATTGGTACTATAGACATACTGCATTACATATACAGATGCTACAAATACTTGAGTATATTTAAAAAATGCACCAGTTCTTTATTCATTGATATTGTCAAACTCCCTCATTTCAAGTATAAGAATAAAAGTTTCTAAAAATTAAAACTAACGAAGGAATCTCATCAGATGTCAAATCGCTTTTCGATCGAGACTATGTTAAACTTTGATGGGTACTAGTGAATAATAGAAACGTCTAGAATGGTTTAGTTTTCTGAGCTTTTCTTCTTCAGTTATCGAAATTCTTCTGATTTTGTTCGACAAAAAACGATGATCCCCCGCAAGTCATGTATGAATATCAACTCCCAGCTTTTTACAAACAAAATTCTCAATAAGATCAGTTCATTGGACAAGTTATAATTTTCCTAGTATCTCCTATCCTAAGATATGCAGAATTCGAAATTCTCTCATGTATACAAGCAAATTTTGTTCATATATTCATATCTCTAGATAAGAAAGAGTAGAAAAACTAAAAATTTGTACAATCAACTAATCTCATTACGAACTTCGTTCGAGCAAAGTTTGAAGTTGACAGTTGATTTTTCGGGTGACTCGAGAGGGAGCACAGTTTTTGTTGAAAAATCCACTAAAGTTTTAATATCTCAAGAACAAAAGCTCGAAAAACCAAACCATTCTAGATTTTTCTATTACTCACCAATACTCATCAAATGAACATTGCCTCAGTTCACAAGAGATTTGACATCTGGAGAGATTACCTCTTAACTTAAATTTCATATATTTCTAGGATACTTCTAAAGTTAGAGAAAGTTTAAGTAATATTGATATCGATTGTTTCTGTTTGTTTAGTTATCTGCGTCATTCACTCATTTCTACAATTGTACAAGACTGCCCTCTATCGCTGTAGAGCAATTTACTTCACGATGAAGATAAACAAATGTTTATGTTGTTGAATCAAACTAATAAAAGCGTGTGTAAATCTTTCAAACTCGAATTACTATTGCCTGTATTAACGTCTGTATCTTTTCATGAATCATTTTTCTACGTGTTCTGTTCACCGAGATACTTTCATTTCATTTTTTCCCACTCACGGGTGTTCTTACTTAATTCTAGATTGTTCGTAATTTCAGTCACGCGCACGATGTTGCGTGTATTGATCACTGGTATTTGGACTGCGACAAATACGCTCTTAAATCGTAATCAAAATCCACCTAATGAACAATCATCAACATCTAAATGGCATAAATTTCGTCATTTTATTTTTACAGCTATTTCTTCATTTGGTATTTCATTCGTTCGATCAATAACTGAAAATGAAGCTATTTATGAATATGTAAATACATGTTTAGCAAATTCGACAACAAATCGAACGAGTGTAGAACATCGTCAACAACGTAATTCAGGTGTTAATCGATTATCACGACCTAATTTTCGTCGACGATCATATCATAATAGTGGTGCTATACGAATCATAAAACCAACAATTAATATTCATATTCATCAGACATAGATTTTTTTGTTGTACATATGTGAGACATTTAGTTGTTGTTGTTTTTTGTGTGCTTTTAGATTCAAAGAAATTTCTTACGATTGTGAAAGAAAATGGCCCGAGGACATCAAAAAGAATTGGCCCGACAACGTAATGACAAGAATTCTGCTTCAAGTAAGCCGACTACACAAAAAGGCACTGCTGGTAAATGAGTATGTCGTATGTAATATTCAAATTTAGTTTATGCTTTCTATTTCAGATGCTGCTTTAACTTATCAATGTCCCGTATGCAAAGTACGAATAAGAGATACAAAGATATTTTTTTTTACAGATTGACGTTCTTTATTTTAGACTAAAATGGGTGATCCAAAAACTTATAAACAACATTTTGAAAGCAAACACCCGAAAAGTGAATTGCCAGCTGAATTAAAAGATGTTTAAGATATAATTATATAATGGATTAAAGATGATAAAAACTTCATTTTAAATAAAAAAAACTCACAAATGTTTTCTTCTAGAAATTCAGCTCTTTTTTTCTCATTTAACTTTCTTCTTGTCTCTATTATTTTTTCAAATAAAGAGAAACGAAATTTTTGGTATGGGACCATTAAATACAAAGAATAATCAACACATGGAAAAATGAGTATAATCAGAGTGCACGAAACGAATGCTAGTAGTGCTTGTCAGTGTGAAGGAGTATACACTATTGGAACATCAAAGTGATAAATGGAGTATTATGACATAGATCAAACAAAATGGCATGTAAACAGTCGTGTAGGACTAAATTACAGTGATTTTCAATCTTGAAATGTTGACCTTATATTATGCGCTATGTTACAGTTCATAATACGTACAAAACAGTACTGTATCCTATCAATATTTCCATTTCGTATTTCGTCATATTATTGAAATACTTTACATGCAAAATGTTCCATCATTTGATGTACGCAATCGATAGTTATTGTTAAATTCTATCTGGCACCAGCATGCTCTTCTTGATACGATGTCGCTAACAATCGCCTTTTTCAAAAAACATTTTTTTTTATTTGTTATCCCTTAAATCTTTTTTTCAATAAATCTTAAGCCTATATCAACTTTTTTGAGATACTTGACACATCAATCAATAATTTTCGGTGAAGGCTATCAGGCGCAATCAAATATGGTGTTTAAAAATATCTTTCGATTACGTTGTACAGCAGGGAGTTTAGGTGCCACTATTAAATATATATAGATGTTTGTAATTTTCTCTATATTTCAAAATTTGTTGTTTCTTTGTAACAAGTGAAGATGATACATGATGAGTATATCTCAGATAAGTTTCGATTTCGTAAGGGTTATTTTCAAATTTCGATGCCTCTCTTTTACCAAGCTGCTTGTAACTAAATTTTTTCCTAATTTGTGCTTCAAAAATCACGAATGACTTCATTATTTTTATGTTTTACAAGTTTGATGCACAATACTTGGCAGTAGTTTCCATGAAAAGATAAGGCTATTCAAAGTTTCATATCTGTAGAAAAGTACCGAGAGCATAACAACGTTCATTTAAGTATAAATAACGAAATATTTACGATCCTTTGGCAGTATAAATACGATCATATGTGGTTACAACAATTTAATTTTTTAGGAACTTTTTTCGAATATTGTAAATAAATGACAAAGATTGAACATGTTGGTAATTCGGTATTCACACAACGAAAAAATACGACTTCCATATGATTATCTTATTTTAGCCGTGACCATATCATAAACATCGTAACGAATCGCATGGTAAACTTCATTTCATATGTACTTTACAACGTCTTCGACCGAAATATACAAATTGCAATCCGATGTCTTCTATAGATTGTTGGAATATGTATAGCTAATTTATTTAACCATGAATGAATGTAAACAATCTAAGTAAAGTTTAGCATCATCAAATTCATTCGATATTTCAACGATATTAATTCAGTTCTGTGATAATTTGTGGAAAAAAACGTTTAATGAAGAAATTACAAACATGTCGGTATTTTACAATTTCAAATTGGAAACTGTTTAAAAAAGCAAAAAAAAAGACACTAAATAACATTTATCAGAAATAACGATCCGATCATCTTGATTCGAATCGATTCTACTGCTTACAATGTATTTTTGCAATTTTCTGTTATTATTGTGTATTGTTTCACTATTCTCCGATGTTTTACTGTTCCATAAAGTTGATATACATATATCTATGTTCATCTTTCATCATACTGATTATTTTCACGCTGAACGATCATAAAATAAAGTAACCATATCATTCACTTCACTGATCGATCAATCAATCATAGAGACGACATCCTGTTGTGTTTAATCTTAAATTATTTTCAATACTCAAGTTGATACTTCAATAAAAAAGAGTTTTTCTTTTATAAAGAATGTATGACAAAAACAATCTTTCATTTCTTCTTTTTTTATGAGTATTTGTTGTGGTTGGTCAATAAAAGTGGCAACAGTTGTAATCGTGAATATATTAAACATTTTTCTCTCTCGATCTTCTCTCTGAATCTGTTTGACATTGAAATTTTTCTTGTTTCACAGTTTACCTTAAAACACTTACTGTTAGAAGAAAAAGTGAGAGCAAGCGTAAAAAAAGAGTCACCAAGACAGCATTCAGACACAAACATATAGACATCCGGCGAAGAATATAACTTTGAGTGCATCGATCGATGCCCCGTGATCTGAAAATAAAGTAGAAGAAAAAAAAGAGAGAAAACTTCCGTTTTATTCATTCATTCTCTCTCTGTTCTATGTCGTTAATATAATTATTGCCCATTTCTTTTTGTATTTTTAAGACAAAAAAAAAAAAAACGATCAGATTTAATCAAAATTTACATTCATCAAGTGTGAAGAATAAAACATTTTGTTGTTGTTTTTACTTTTATTATTTGCCGTTAACTAACACTATTATCGTCACTTCTCAAATATGAATCGAGTAAGTAGATGTTATTAATAATAGCTACAAGAAGAGATTTTAAAAATGAGAAGATTTTCTTTTGAAAAACAAAATGTTTAAACGATATTCTATTCTATTTTTTTCTTTAGTCTCATAGCCATCTTGACGTATATCATAGTCGTCATTTATCTTTACATAAACCTGGTACAATACCAAAGTCATCTCGAAATATTTCACCGATCATATCAAGTCGTCATAAATATGAATTAAGACAACAAATTAGGCCAAAACAAACAGTTGAATCATGGTTTCAAAGTCATTCACGTGATGGTAAATCTAATTCTAGTTTTCTGATCTATATTCCATTTAAAAAACAAAACTTTCTCGAAATCTTTAAGATCGTCGAGCTGTTTATAGTTTTCTTAATACACTTTACGATGGTGATGTTAATCATCAAATAGAAGATCGATCATCAATTGAACAACGTCGAAAATCACCTAGTCCACGATCTCCTAGCAGAGTAAATACGACTGTTGTACATGCATCAAATTATTCATCGCAACGGCGAATGTCAAACAATGGTGGACGTGAAAGTCGAGCATCGAAACGTGATCTTGGAGAAATTCTTGAATCATTAGGAAGGTAATTGCGATAATGTTTTTACTTACATTAAACGTTTCTCCGTTTTACAAAACTAACATGAAATTTTTTTTATGAAACCATTGAAAATACATACAATGTTAAAGTATATAAAATAAGATCAATGTATAGAAAGAAAAGCATACATTTTATTGACTTTGAAACGAATCCATGGTTGAAAAATAGCATATTATTATCGCAAGTGACCTTCTTGGAGAAATTTTGAATTAAAAAAAAACAAGATATTCATTTGTGACAGGACAAAACTGACAACCTCAGATAGAAGACTCGATGGTAAAACTATTTCTGAGTTTTACTTTTAAATAGTGTCAAAAGCACGATACACTCGAGATGATTAAGTTCTGATTTAGACAATCAAAGAAAAAAAAATGCTTTTTGAGCCGAGTTGAAGTCGATAAAATTTTGAAATTTTCTTGTTTGATTATCATTCTTTTTTTGATGAAAAAATAGTATAATATGTATAGGTGATCTTTGAAGTAATGACTTTTTAGTTTGCTTTTTTACAAATTGATTAGCAGCACTCTATAAACAAACAGACAATGATATGACCAATAGTTGATCTTGTAGTTAATATATTGAAATATTTTATTTAGGAAAAGAATTTAAAAAAAAGCTACGTTTTAATATCTCAATTGTTCGGATGATGCTACTATTTTATTACTAACCGTTGTTGACATATTCTAGTTTTCGTAAGTCACCATCATTTCAAGAAAAAGGCATTCAAACATCAGCAACACCAATAACAGTTCCATTGCCTGATGTAAATGAAACAAAGAATAATCGCAAATCCGAAAAACATACAAAACGTTCAGCAACATCAATGGATAAGTATACGGAAACAATTCAACCTCAAAATTCAGTAGATGATAACACAAATGTAAATGACAATGAAAATAATAAAATAGGTCGACGTTATTTATCTCAGACATGGCGTGTAATAAATCCACGTGAAGATATGGAACTAAATGTTCGCCCAGAAAATAATGCATCATCATTTTTTAATTACACAAAAAAAGTATATCCAGAATATTTTTTTATTCATCCTGATTGGTATTAATTTGAAAACAAAGAATAATTCTAGACTTTATAAAAACTTTACCATTTTTTTTATTTCCTTCTTTCTTCTTTTTTATTGAAAAAATGAATAAATTTTTTGACGAAAGCAAATATAGATTGTTCTTTTTGTATAATATGAAGAATAAGTTTTAGATAGTTTTCAATACAACAACCATTATGTGAGAAAAGTTCATTTTGATAACGCATTATCAAATTACGGTTGAGAAAAATTTATGTTTTTCATTATTTTGTTCATGTATTGGCGTCGGTGATGTAATCATTGGATAAAGATTAAGTTTCGCTGCTTTTGCTTGTTGATCATTATTTGGTGGACATGATAATATTTGGTTATTTCGTTGATAATTTTTTTCATAGTTTTTATGATATTGTAAACATCTTGCTCCTTTATATTCTTGTCTGGGATATTGTTGTCTCTGTATTTCATTACGATTGACAACAAATCTTGGACATATACAAGTAATAATACGTGAAAATTCCTGACGTGCTTGTTTATTAAGTGAGAAATAAAATATAAAACTAAAACACATCGATATCATAGATAAAAGATATAATGAATAATTAATAAATATAAATCGACGTAAATCCGCATGGATATTATAGGTTAATGATGCAACTGTTTGATTGAAATCAAATGATAATGTAGGATTCGATAAAGTGTGATTTTGAGTTTTTGCTGTCAATTGATAAGCACGATGCCATGTATAAATATTGTATGGAGCCCAACAGAGGACATAAAATGAAAGTAATAAAACAAGTAAAACTACTGTACGTTTTGCATTAGCATTTGCTCGTATACTGTTGGCATAATTTATGGGTGGCGATGCTGGTGATGCAAAAGTTGTTCGAGTTGATGAACGACTTGATGTTGAAGAATTCGATGGATTATGTTTTCTAGTACGTTGGCCAGTTGTTGTTGATGTGTTGCCGACACCCATTGCGTTTACAATTGTATTATTATTAGACATAACAATATTTCTATTGAGTGTTTTTGTATTCATCATTTTTAGTTGTAAGACTTGTGGATCATTAATAAAAACATTTTGATTTTGTCCACGTCGTTTTTTCTGTACGATCATTTGTGAAGCTAATGTATCATTATGTCTCATCGATAATCTATTAGATGGTTTTCTTTTTGTTATATAACGTCGATGATGTTTAGCGCGTATAAAATAGATTAATTTAGCATGAAGAAAAAATGAAAATAATAATGGTAATATATAGAAAAATATTAAAAAACTTATTAAAATTCCATGTGTATATTGTACAATACAGATTTTCATTCTTGGTGATGTTCGTAAAACATGTGCATGAAGTAAATTACAAATAGCTATAGGTAAACTACATAATATAGGTAAAATTAATAATATAATTGAGCCTGATTTTGTTGATATACGACGACACCAGTTTGATGATGATGATTCTTTTGATAATGCATGACCATGAATGTAAACAAAACGATCAAATGCTCCTAATATAGAGAAAAACAATTCATTTTTCTTTAGATGATTAGTGAATTTCTGAACTTTTAACAGATATTAGTGTTTTTAAAAGAGAAGATTTTGTCATGTGTCTTCCTAATTAGTAACCGATGTATTTGATTATTAACTTATTAATTATGGGATCCATATATATGTATGGGTTAAACTTTTATGCAGATTATAACTTTTACAATCTTCTCACTTTCTTCGGTCATCGAATGTTTTCTCTCTTTCTTATGTTTTAAATGCCAAAGCATCATGATATGATATTACTGTACGTGCCATATCGAGTGAAAAAGAGAAAATTGTACGTTTTAGCGATCTATGAGAATTGATAGATTCTCTATATCTAAAATCATTCAAAGCTCTGTGAAATGAAAGATAAATCCGTAAAGCTGCGTTGAATTCTAAAACCATTGTGGCCCGAAAAAGTTTCTATTATTGATCAAGCTCTAATCTTACAGAAGATCACACGTTCAGTTTTATTAGATCTATAATACAATATGGAATCATTGGATTATTTATGAAGGTCCGCAAAGGATTTCAAAAGATTTCGGAAAACTCTATTCAACTTTGCAAGTACCGAATTATATGGCGTTGACTAGAGCCTAACGCAATTCGCATGCTCCTTTGATGTATATGGTCATTTCCAGATTTCAATGAGTAAACCCACATTTTTGGTCATCTGTGAAAGAAACTCCGTAACCAAAAGGTTAAAGAGGATGAATCACAAGACTACTATAGTCTTATTTTCGATCAAACAAACACATCTTGAAAAGTAATCATATACGAATGTGTATTGAATTGTACTGTATTTGAAGGCAAATCGTTGTTATATGATTTACTACGCACAGCTGGAACTTAATTATCTTCTTAGAGATATTGCATGTCATCGTGATCTTTTTCTTGTCACTATCAATTAAGATAATTTTACACAGAACAAGTACGTTAGCTTGCAGTAATATTTCAAAACTAGTCTAGTTTATTTGTATAATTATACTTATTGTCTATATGTTGATACAGATATGAAATATCGAACAGAAATTCCTGGATATATTAAATGAAAGTTAGACATGTAAAGTCAAGTACGTGATTTAAGTATAAAATGAATTCTACGACATACAATGTGAGTTTGTTTTTCTACACAAAATCCGAAAGAAAAAACTCTGCGGTAAAACAAATTTTATGATAAATCAATGTTTGACAATAGATCGATTTATAAATGTAGATAAAGAAATTTTATCTCAACTTGGTCTTTTTAATATCTTTTTTTATTTCTTTTGGAAAAAAGTTAGTCAAGATTTCTATTTTCCATGAAATAAGTGTTTATTTTAATCAAAACTATCAAGTATACTATTTTTTCTTGAATAATAATAACTCGTATTTTCTACCTGTGCACACTACATAATCAATTTCTGCAGGCTACTTTAGATTGTGTTACTTACAGATTTTCTTCATGAGATCCGAAATTACTATGGAAGCATAAATTTTGCTTGGATCTCTGTCTGTTTCTACTAGGTAACCTAGAATAATTTGACGTCATTTTGCCATTTGATGAGTAAAACAAATTGAGCTTTTACAGTGCAACCTTTGTTCGCATTTTTATTTCGTAGGACTGCATTACCGTCAACACTTGACAGAACCGGATCTCTTAATCTTCAGTTTAGTGGTCTATGAAATGTAGTCTTTTCTTAGAGTAATTAAGAAAAGTGTGTTTCGTTAACTTAAACACGTCAAGTCGTGCGTAAAAAATAGCATGATCACGAGTTTTACAGTATTTTTAGTAGAGAGAAAATTTCTTAATTATGCTTCTCATTGTTTTAATTATTCATACTTAGTCTTCAATAAGTCAGTATCCTAATGAGGGAATCAGTTCAAGTTACAAATCATTTTTAAGTTCCGACTCTGTATATAAGGTAGGTCTGAGTGAAATATGAAAGATTCGAAAAAGATAAGTACTCTTAAGCCTTTCTTCCAAAGCGATAGCCATTGCACTGGAATTTTAGGCTATAGCATGATATGCTTTAACAAATTGAATGACAGGATTTCGACCTGAAATTTAGCTCACAAACAGATCTACTGATGACTAGAATGCCCTGGAAATTCTAGCTCAAACAATTGTTTTATTCGTGAGATATTAAATTCTCGAAAATCCAATATATTCCGCGAAAGATACAACAGTCTCATATTTTTGGAAACTCAATATCTCACAAAACAAACATTCTTTTGAGCTGAAGTGTTCAGGACATTCTAGTCATCAGTAGATCTATCTGTGAGCAAAAATGTTAGGTCGAAATACTGTCACTCGATTAGTTTCTTTTGGGATGTTTCATATCTCATTGAAGTCTACCTTATACACAGAGCCAACATTCAAAAACAATTTATCATATGAAACGATTAACTCGTTAAGTCAACATTTTTTTATTATGATTGGATACACATTCTGTGAAAATTAAATTCTGAAATGAAAATAGATTTTTAATAGGAAAATCCCTTGACAACGTAATTAAGATGTCAACATCAAAGTTAATTGTTTGTGACATGTTTTTGTATGTTCAAAGAAACACCTAGATATACATGAGGAAATTAGTGATAATTAGATAAAACAACAGGAAATATTAAGAAATAACATTCTCTATTCATAAATCGATATATGGTTCCAAAAGAATTAGAATAATCTTTGTTCTGAACGGTTTGTCGCATTATCCGAAATGAGATAAAAATAACAATTCAGTCTATAGTAAACTATTGATGTTTTTTTAATGAATGCTTTAGTTGTATCAAAGTAGATTAAAAATGATCATTTAACAATTTATAGAAGTAATTCATGCGTCTCTGATCGCACTACATAATTATATGAACAATAATTTTCAATGAGAAATTGTCCAATAAGATTTTTTTCAAATAAAAATGTAAAACGCAATATGATATAGTTTTAGTTTTGCATAGAATAAATCTATAATAATATACGTTATGACTTGTTAGTCATCTATGATGATATTCGAATAAAAACAAATGTGTAATTGTAACGTAGCACAATGATTAGCAAATAAGAATGCTCTATGCTTATCATAATCTTTAATGTCCCCTATTGTATTGTCCTTTTCATCATACACGATGATCGATAGAAAAATGCGTAATAGTAAGTAGCAAAAAATTGAAATGAACGCATTCAACTTTCCCATCACAGTCTACTTTACTAATACCAATTACATTTTACAAAGTGCTGACTATGACACATAAACAAGTACTTTAAAAAAAAAGGATATTTGTAGATTTTATTTTCTATTCCGAGTAATAGTCAGGCGTATATATATTCATTTACATGTCATCTTTATCACGCAGACGGGCACTTAAAATAGAAACACTCATTGGAGTCAACTAATCCTTACCATCAACTGTGTTCTCGAATTCATGTGCAGATAAAAATAAATTCTTATTATCTATTGTATGCATTCTTATGAATTATTCATGCAGTGAAGTATCGGTTCTCACTAGATATGAACTAATATATATATAATTAATTCTTAATACATGTGCAAATGCGACTAAATTCTGGTGTAATATATTTCCGACATATAAACATTTATTGTGGCACGCGTACTATTTTTAATAATTTTTTTTTCGTAATTCTGCGTAAAGAAATCTTGAGTGAAATCAAAACCGATGTTATATTTTAGATACATGAGTGCACTTCAAATATTTTTCGATTGACTGAGTCTTTCTATAAAAGCTTTTCTTTTTTTCTACTGACAATATTGCTCAAATGAATCAATAAAATTGTATGCTATTCTTTTCTATAAACAAATATTCAATTTATACTAAAATTTTGCGTTCAATACACTAACATAATCACACAAAGAAAAATATCTATGTTCAACCAAAACTAATCATTTTTAATGTTTCATTCTAAATGCGCTTTATAAGCATGTAATTGTCTAAATGATTTGATATTTTTATGCTTTCTTACTGATTATATGATATTAAAACGTAATTTTCCCTTGTAAATCGAATCGAGTTTTTTTTTCTCATTATAATGAAAGAAATGAATATTTGGATTAGTGAATGATGAAGACGAAAGGTTAAGTGCAAAACAAAAACAAGGTAAGTATGATGTCTATTAAAAGACTGAGGTTTGGATGTGAATGAAGAAAAGATTCACATCGACATTCTTTCATCCATTACAAATAAATGCTGGTTCACACCACCGAAAAACAAGGAAAATTATCAATCTTTCCAATAACGTTTATTAGATCTTATTTTCACTCAGATTGATTCAATTGAATACAATATTTCATTGCAATTGTTTTTGTAATATATGTGTTTTGTTAATTATAATAGTTATTAATTTTATCTTTCAATGAACTTCATATTTACTCTGAGCTGTTTTCATGTTTTACTTTTGAGTGCTGAGCATTACCGCGCGTATTTTTTTTCTCTCCTTAAGTTTTGGTGTTTATCATTCTGTTCTTGAATATATTTCAATTCAATTCAATATTTTCTATAAGGAATAGAGATGTTTCCATACAGTAAAACTATAATTCTGTGTATATGAAGTACTTCATTTATATATAAAGCTTTTGAAACATGCAAAATTTCGTATCAGAACAAGCAATGATTTTCCAACGAAATTAAATATAAATCTTTTCTCTAAACAAATAATATTATTTGTTATTTAAAAGATTCATACATGTGAAATTCACTCAGCTTGTATTGTAATCAGGCAAATAGATCAGTCAGAATCCAAATTCGTATATCATAACTAAGTCATAAATAGGAAAGAAAAGTACAAGTGCGAATTATAGATCGGAAGACTGAATTCTGCTTTTGAAGTGGTGTAAGGTACTAAAAATATATATAAGCACTGAAAATTTTTATGTTACGTTAAACAAAAGTATTTCTAGGTTATACTCGAAGAGAAGAAAAAGTTTTCACAGATGAATGTTTTAGTCTTTTTAATAATTCAAAATTCAAACAATAAATGATATTTCCTATATTACAGAACATTAATGTCTAATATATTCAACAAAAGAATACAGGTTAAAATGGATATATAAAATTACTTAATGCAATATACATGAGTCATGTTTCAATTTCCAGTTCTTTTTTTCTTTATATTGAAGAAGGGATCTATTGATAGAATAAAAAATAAGTGACATACCTAGTAAATGATAGAAGATAATACACGATGAAAATAACGATTCAAAAAATGTATGAAAACGACAAAGCCATGTTTGTGAAAATGAATATGAAAGAAATCGATAAATTTCTGTTGGTGAATCAATCAAAACAAGACACAGTTCACCTTAACATAAAATAAATAATAAGAAAGAAAAAGAACATTTAAACGACAATATTCTTTCATACTTAATGCAAGACATAAAACGATTCTATCCGTTTGTAATAAACGAAAACGTTTCGAATAAATGACTTTTGCTAAACATAAATTTCCAATAATTGATATAAGCGAAACAAATGCAATAAGAAAAACAAATATAATTAATGAACGTGATCGCTCTTGTATACCGTAGTTTTGTTGAACTTTTTTATTAGATATATCAAATTCATTTGTGCTGTTCATAAGACGACTTAATTCAAGAACACATTCCGGCATAGTTTTAGGTAAGCGTAATGTCAAGTTATGTCTCGCTAATAATTGTCGTATATATGGTGGTGCTAATTGTTGATTATTTGAAAACGCTGTTCGATTTGAAACAATTGATAGAAGTTGTTCACACTGCATAATTAATATTGATGAATACGATGTAAATCGAAATGAGGAAACATTATTTGCTTTTAAATCATTTTCTATACGCATGATTTCTTCCAGTAGTACCGATGAGTGATGATTACTTTTAATAGGACAAGATCAAAAAGAATGAAAGAGATGTACTTAGGTTATATCTGAAATAGAAAAAAAGGACATGAAAAGAAGTATGTCAAATTTAATGATGATCTTTTAGTAAACTAATAAGTACGCCTATTTGCTTTGACGCTGATGCTTGAGCTAGCTTTTAATGGTAGTGTAACTGTAGTTGGGCGAAAATCTGCAAAGTAATTACTCATCATGCGAATAGTCTATGTGAAGTTGAATATTATTTAACCATCTGAGGCATCTTTTTTTAAGCACTGATTATGCCACTAAGTCTTACATATGCCTTGAAGGTTGGTTATGTTCCTGCAGTCTACATCTCTTTATTATCTTTATCGTTCATTGCATGCTCTTACAAGTGACAAGTAAAAGTGAAATGGAACAACTACTTTTTTATAAGATCTACACGAGAGTTATTCGGAAATTACATTCTTAATTTCTAAGACTTTGCTGGAAAATGTCGAAAAAAGAAATATGATTGGAAAATACTTTTGCGATTTATGTCATCTATTATTATTTCTTGTAAATCAGATGAACTTAATGTGTAGTATCTATAATTACAGTCATAGTGTCTTGTTGAATTTATTTTTTCAGAGAATTGCTATAGTTGCTGCTTCACATTAAGTTTACTTGATTTGACAAGACACAATGATAGATGAGATAATTCAAATAAGTATTTTACGACCATCTTGCTTTTTAACATTTTCTTTTCTCATGGTTTTGTTTTCAACGTTTTTTATCGATCCAGCGTTGATTTGTTTTTGTGTCAAAGTCTTCTTTATTATTCATGGCTTCAGTGCTGAAAATATCCCGTGACAATAATGAATTAAAAAAAAAAACAATTTAGAATTTATATAAATTATAATAATAGATCAAAAGAGTTTCCATTACTATTCGATGTTTTTTAAAGCTTTTATCTCTGTTTATATATAAAGTTTGATATGAACAATACAGAGCCTAAATAACAGACATGCAACATATAAAAAAGTATTCTTTTTCATAAACTTGATTGCCTCCCATTTTTAACTCTTTTGTTTTCACAGAAGAAGAAGTTGGTTTATGTCTTTAAAATAAGATGGTTAGAAAATATTTCTTATGAGGGTCATCTGGTCTGTTCTACATGTTTTCTATTAATGAACAAACAAGTTTCTTTCGTAAGTCGAAAAACATGTACGCATGAATTTTAATCAGAGACAGCTGTTTAGAAACTACCAAATAGGAAAAAGATATACTTTAATACCATTCCTTTCGGCTTCTTCTTGTTGGGAAATAATACAAAGTTTAGAAATAAAACTATGCAAATTTTTATTAAAGTAACAAAATTATTGACAAATCTTTAACTGAAAAAGGACAAATCTCAAAAAGCTGAACAATGGTCGGTCGAAATCAAGCGAGAAGTTGTC